AACCATTGTCTTGAATAAAGGTTTCATGGATATGAGCTCACTTAACTGCTTTGTAAGGTAGTCCGTTCCTCCATTCCACCTAATGCTATCTTTGATTGTAAGAAAGTGCTTCCTTTTTATTGAACCCTAGAAAAAAATCCTCAGAAAAGTCCATCCGTTGTTCTTTGTGTGTGACTATAGATCATAAAATCTGACCTTTCTTGCCATGTCAGTGATTTAAACACAATGAAAAATAAAACAAAGTATAATTAATTTTATAAAGTTTATAGTTTCTTAAGGATTTTTGAAAACATTTAGTCAAAATAACTTTGTATAGCTGATGTTTCTGAGGTTCTTTGTAAGTTGGTCTTTCATCTTACAAGATCCAATTATTGGCTCATACTGATATCAGAAAGTATAACATTGTTATCCTTTAGCAAGATGGGTTTTTATCTTACATGTCAACTAACTGATTGCTAGGACTGACAGCGCTGTGTGCAAAAGGCTCTGAAACCCAGTGGCAAAGCACACAAGTCCATGAACATGGGACATTCATACCATGCTTTTGTAATTTTTACCACTTTGAGAATATAGCACAGAACACACATTTTATCAAAATGCTGTCTCTTCAGCTTTGATCCTTACAGCTTGTAATCAGAATAAAAATAGTTTGTATATAACATGAGAAATAAAAGGTAAAGATTAGATTATATAAATTACATATACCTGAAAGCATGTTCATGTGTATTTCCTCATGGGTTTATTTGATGTCAATGGTCTTTAAGAAAGGATAGAATTGCTTGACACTTTTGCTCTTTCTGCTGCACAGGTTTTATGTTTTGTATTTCATATGATTTTCCCATGACTTAACCATAATTATCAATATAATCTAGTAAATTTACCTAATTTCTTTCTGTGAAAATACAGTTTCGCCTAAGTACCCAGAGCAGGAGATTATTTCATTTTTCTGCTAATTCCTGGTGCATATGCTTCCAGTGTTCCCATTTGTTACTGTTTATCTATACTAATAAGAAGGTAATATGCTAATTAGACTGGATAAATCAGACATCTTCCGGATGTCCTTCTGGACATCCTTCCAGACAAAGCCACAGTGGCTGTGAGGGCCGAGGAGGGCTGGCAGCTGCGGCAGCAAGCAGTGGCAGCAGCAGCAGGGTGATGGGGGTGGTGCCTTACCCTGATTGGCCCAGTCGCCTCCCACAGAGGGCAGGCCAGGCTAAGGGACCCTCCCCAAGTGCAAGAATTTTTGTGCACTGGGCCTCTAGTATCAGATAAGGAACTGGACACATGGCCGTCTGGAGTATACACTTATCTCATCAGCTTCATACGGCTCAGCTCAAGGTTTCCATGAGAAGAGGCTGTTGTGAATGACAGTTACAGAAATCAGACATCACCCTGAGAGCCTGTCTTTAAATAACTGAGCAATAAATATTTTACTATTATTTGAACATTATGATTGTCTTATAGAATGGATGCTAATTTACAAAATTATTTTTAATAGAATTAACATCAAACCACAGTCGATAAAGCCTAAACATTTGTGCTTTCTTTCACATTTGAACTATACTGTTCCTGATTTCAACACTAATTGTTGAATATCAGTGTTTAATGGTATGCTTATGATTGCTTAATACTGAAATATTTTGACAAGTGTACATAGTTTTCTCTCCCACTTAGTGCTCATATGGTGTACCTATCTATAGATTCATATTCAATAGCTGTCTTGTGGTTAGTACCATTTGCCTAATACAGAAGACTTCCAGAATGCCATTTAAAAAATACAACTGTATTGAGTATTTGGCGAATGTTGCCACTAAGTTGTTCATCATGTTAAAAGAAATGTAGAGTAGTAGACTAATTTCTATGGAAATAATCAAATCTCTCAGAGGAATTGCTCGAAGTGAAGAAAACACCATGTTTTGTTCTCTCATACAGACAGCCCTTGGCTTCTGCAGGGGATTGATTCCAGGTCCCCTGCGGATGCCAAAATCCACAGATGCTCAGGTCCCCACATATAAAATAGCATTGTATTTGCATATAAGCTATACACATCCACTCATATACTTTAAATCATCTCTAGGTCACTTATAATATCTAATACAATGTGAATGCTATGTAAATAGTTGTGATATTATATTGTTCAGGGAATAATGACAAGAAAAAAGGGTTTGTATATGCTCAGTATAGATACCACAGTCATAAGCCTAACTAAATTGTACACGTCACCAACACCATAGCATTTTCCCCCAGATATTTTTGGTCTATGAACCCATGGAGGTGGAACCTATGGATACAGATGGTTAACTGTACTGAAGATTCCTAAAGCAGACAACTGAAACTTTGCACAAATGGTTGTTTCACATGTAACAGGAATTTCTGCTAAACACTTCCCTTTTATAGAACCAAGTTATTCTTAGTTTGCTAGTCCAAGGTAAATACCAAGTCGTAGGAGTATGTCTTCCAGAATATTTGCAGACAGAAAGTAATAAGATTTCTGTAGTACAATCATACTTCACCTCAATCTTCCAAGGTCAGGACAGTAAAAATAGCAATGTTAAGGACAGATTTCTAAGTTGTGTCTTTAACAGAATTATTCATTTCATAGGAACACATCAACTTTTGGCAAAATGATTCCATAATACTTTGATTTCAAAAACACTGACTTTATTCATATTAATATTTTAATGGCTCATCTAAATAGTATTAAATATGGAAGTAAAGAGGATGAAGTTGCCTTAGTTTATAATTTCCATAATTTATAATGACATAAGTGAGTTTAGGGAGGCATCAGTGGCTTCTCTAAAGCCAGAGTCTAATCATTCTCAGTTAAAAATCTGTATTTCAGGGTGGAATTTCCAGCTTAAGCTGACTAGAGGGATGAGGGCCAGTGCCCTGTAAACCAGTGGTGCTCCACAGTAGGCAATTTTGCTTTCCCTTCCTTCCCAGGGGACAATGTCTGGAGACATTTTTTATGATTACAACCAAGTAGGGAGCAATACAATAATAGCAGGGACTTAAAGCCCCACTTACATTTATGAATAGACATCCAATGGGGAGAGACCAATGATACCGCTAATATCCACAGTGTAAAGACAACCCCCAACAAAGCAAATTGTGAGCTCATCCCAAAATGTGAGTAGTGCCCAAGCTAATTTAGACATAGAAAAGGCAGAGGAAAGAAGTTAGCTCTGCACTTGACACTCAAGTGGATTTTCCAATCTCCTGTTTGCCTTATTGTCTTTGTAGGAAGATTTATGCTTCATGTATTTTCTTCTACATTCCATTAGCATAATCAAGGCCCTTCATTTCTCAAAGTGAGACTTTGGTTTAACTCACTTTGTTTCTTTGAGAGTCGATTCCATCATTTATATAAAATAAGATCATTGAAATCATAATTTGCATTTTTTGCCAACTTTTTATTTTGAATAATCTTCAAATCTGTACAAGAGTTGATAAAGTAGTATTGGTAAGCACCTATTACTCTCTTCATTGATTTAGCTTTATTGATATATTTCTATATTTGCACACTTATGTGCTCTTTCTTTGTACTTCTTTTTCCCTCATTTCCTTCCCCAACTACTAATAAAAATTCCTGTATGCTTTTACCTAGTAATTCCACTGCTACAAATGTATTCTACAGGTGAGTCCACACAGGTGCAAAATAATTGGAATCAACTTCAATGCCTGTTAATAGATGACTTCTTAAGTAAATTACAGGACAAGGCAGCTGTTTAAAAAAATTAGGGAACTCTGTGTATTAATTTAGATATAGAACTAAGGTAAATTATTAAATGAAAAATATAAGCTCAGTGTATATAACACAATGTTATTGTATAATGATGGGGAATATAAATATTTATATAGTTCACGTATCATTGGATATACATAAAGAAATTCTGGAAGGATACATAAGAAACTAACAAAATGGTTCTCTCTGGGAATGGGTTGAAAGTACATCCTAAGTGTACATTCTGTTGCTTTTGGATGGAATGTTTTATAAAAATCTGTTAAGTTAATCTGATATAACATGTCCTCTAAGGTTGATGTTTCTTTTTTTTTATTTATTTTTATTTTATTTTATTATTTATTACAAAGGGTATTACATATGTGTCCATTTTTCCCCCCGCCCAAGACAGTCCCCTAGCCTCCCTCATCCCCCAGTGTCTTATGTCCATTGGTTATGCTTATATGCATGCATACAAGTCCTTTGGTTGATCTCTTTATTGTTCTGTCTGAATGACCTATTCATTGATATAAGTGGGGTATTAAGGCCCCTATTATTATTGTATTGCTGTCTACTTCTCCCTTTTACCTTTTAATGTTTGCCTTACATAAATTTAAGTGCTCTTATGTTATGTGAATAAATATTTACAAATGTTATATCCTCTTGTTAGATAGACTTTTTTATCATGATATAACGCCCTTCTTTTTCTATTACAGTCTTTGCTTTAAAGTTTGTCAGTATAAGTATAGCTACTCCTGCTTTCTTTTGGTTTCCATTTGTGAGGATTATCTTTTTCCATCCCTTCACTTTGAATCTGTGTGTGTCTTTACATCTAAAGTGTGTCTCTTGCCTTTGCCAGTATGACTCAGTAGGATTATAATTCTGTACACCGAAAGGTGGTAGATTGGATTCCCAGTCAGGGCACATACCCAGGTTGCAGGTTTGATCTCCAGTTGGGGTACATGCAGGAGGCAACTAAATGATGGTTCACACTCACATTGATGTCCTTCCTCTCTCTCTAAAAAAAAAAAGTAAAAGCATGTCTTTGGGTGAGAATTAAAAAACAAAATAAGAATTACTTTAAAAACAAATCCTATATAATAAAAGCCTAATACGCAAATCAACTGAACAGGGGAATGACCGGTCACTATGAGGCGCACTGACCACCCGGGAACAAACGCTCAATAAGGAGCTGCCACCAGCCTGCAGGCCCCAGGCCAGCCAAGGCGGGTGCCAGCAGGGGAACCCCAATCGCCCCACTGGTCGCCTCATATATTGGCCCTGATCGCTGGTCAGGCCTAGGGACCCTACCCATGCACAAATTTTGTGCAATGGGCCTCTAGTAAGTAAGTAAATAAATAAATAAATATAAAGCGTGTCTCTTGTAGTCAGCATATAAGTGAATTTTGTTTATCCATTCCGTGTATTTTGATTGGAGAATTTAGTCCATTTACATATAAAGTAATTGTTCATAGGTTTGAGCTTATTGCCATTTGTTAAATGTTTTCTAGCTGTGTTCATAGTTCTCTCGTCCTTTCTTCTCTTGTTCTCTTTCCTTGTGCTTTCCTGACTTTCTTTAGTGGGATGGTTAGATTTCTTTATCTTTTATGTATTTACTATAGGTTCTTGTTTGTGGTTACCATGAGGCTTACATATACTAGTAACAACTTATATTTATAACAGTCTATTTTAAATTGATAACAATGTTACAAACATTCCATCCAAAAGCAATAGGATACACAATCTTCTCAACTACATATGTGACATTTTACAAGATAAAGCACATGTTAGGACACAAAACGAGTTTTAATAAATTTAAGAGGATTGAAATCATATCAAGCATATTTTCTGACCACAGTGGTATGAAACTGGAAATAAATTACATGAAGAAAACTGGAAAATTCACAAATAGGTGGGGATTAAACATTTTACTGACAACCAGTGGGTCAAAGAAGAAGTCAAAAGAGAATCAAAAAAGGCCTTGAGACAAGAGAAAATGAAAATGTAACATACAAGAATTTATGGGATACAGAAAAGGCAGTGCATAGTGATAAATGCCTACTTCTAGAAACGAGAAAAGTCTCAAACAATCTAACTTTATACCTTAAGGAACTAAAAAAAAGTAAAACAATGCCTAAAGCTAGAGGAAGAAAATAACAAAGATTCAAGCAGAAATATGTGAAGTAGAGACTTAAAAGACAATAGAAAAGATCAGTTGAGACTAAAAGCTCAATCTTTGAAAACATAAAATTGACAAAATGTTAGCTGGACTCACCGAGAGAAAAAAGAGAAGGGACTTAAATAAGTAAACAGACATGAAAGATGTTATAACCGATACTACAGAAATACCAAGGTCCATAGGAGAGTATTATGAACAATTATACGCCAGTAAATAGGACATCCTAGGAGAAATAAACAACCTACCAAGACTGAATTATATTCTGAAATAGAACATCTGTCCAAATTAACTACTAACAAGAATATTGAATCAGTAATCAAAAACTCCCCAACAAACAAAATTTATATCATACTCAGTGGTGAAAAGCTGAAAGGTTTTTTTCTAAGATTAGGGATGAGACAAGGATTGGTGAGGATTAACAAAACAAACAAAAAGCTCATACAGCTCAATATCAAAAAAGCAAATAGTTCAATTAAAAATTGAAGATCTGAATAGACATTTTCCCAAAAAAAGACACACTGATGACCAACAGTTACATAAAATGATGCTCAACATTAATTATTAGGAAATGCAAATCAAATCCACAATGAGATATCACCTGACACATGTTAGTTAGAATGGCTGTTTTTCAAAAAGACAAGAAATAACAAGTATTGGCAAGGATGTGGAAAAAAGGGAACCCTGTGCACTGTTACTAGGAATGTAAATTGGTGCAACCAGCATAGAAAAAAGTATGTAGATTCCTCAGAAAAATTAAAAATAGAACTGCAGTTGGTTGGAGCATTGTCCCATTGGCCAAAAGGTCGTGGATTTGATTCCCAGATATTTTTCTTCTCTCTCTCTCTCTCTCTCTCTCTCTCTCTCTCTCTCTCTCTCTCGTCAGTAAGCATGTCTGGGGTGAAGATTAAAAAAAAATAGAACTGTATAATCTGAAAATTCCACACATGGATATTTATCCACAGTAATTGAAAACTCTAATGACAAAATATATGCACTCCATGTTCATTGCACCATTATTTATATTAGTCAAGATATGGAAGTAACCCTAGTGTCCATCGACAGATGAATGGATAAAGAAAATGTTACACACACACACACACACACACACACACACACACACACACTACACACATACCCAGTGGACTATTATTCAGCCATAAAAGAAAATGAAATCTTGCCACTGGTAACATCATGGATGGAACTTGAGGGCATTGTGCAAAGTGAAATAAGTCAGAGAAAGCAAAAACCATATGATCACTCTTATATGTAGAATCTAAAAAATAAATAAATAAGAGAAATCTAAGCTCATGGGTACAGAGAACAGATTGGTGATTGTAAGAGGTGGGTGGTGGGGTGGGAGAAATGGCTGAACTGTTTGTTTGTTTTTTGGTTGGGGAAGGGTTTGTTTAAATTTAAAAATTTTTAACTAAAATATTTTTTTAAAAAATAAACATTTTCTGTACAAAGGACTTACTGGGCATAATTAACTATTTAAATTTAGTCTATGCAATTTTTTTAAGATTTTTTAGCTGCTGTTAAATATGGAGGACCACTTTTACACTTCAATTTTACACTTCAATTTCTTGAGTTCTGTTTTTGGATTTTAACATAATCCTTTATACTCGTTATATCTAACTATATTAATGAAATCATTGCTATATTATATTGAGTGGAAAACTACACAAAGAGCATATGCTCCGAGTAAGATTAACATACATAACAATTCTATACCATGTTTGACATATAGTTTTAGCTAATTATGTGGTGATCTTCAATTAAATTTAGAGAAATTAATTTTTTAAATTCCCATTAAGTTACTTTTTATTTTCTTAATCCACAGCAAGTTGGCATTGATAAAGGTGACATTCCTGACCTCACACAGGTAAGTGATTCTCTGAGTGGAAGATTCAGTGTACATGAAATTATTCTGTAGTTTTTCAAAAAAGATCTTACCTAGATCATTGATAAAAAGTCTTGTAAGTATTTAAAAGTATTTAATGGATTTTAAATTTAGGCCAATGGACTTTCTTGGAAATTATTCTAGCTTATTTTTTCTAGCTATTAAATATATTTCTAGAGGTAATATGAAGATTTTCCTGCCCTTATAAACATAGTTTCTTCTTTAAAGGCAACTGAATTTACTTACTGAGGTCATATGTTCATTCTTGAACTTGAATCAAAAGGGAGCCTTGAATAATGTTTAAAAAATATTTTATCTATGAAAATATATTTGTAGGCATGATAATCAGAACTGTTGAATTTTTTTCCTGCTTGTTCTTCTAGATTTCAGCATGCCTCAGGTACGAGGAAGGGGCGTGAATGGGCAAACTCTGATGTAGTTCTACCACGCTGACTTTGTCTTTATTTGTAAAATAGTCCCAATAAATAATGCATGTTTACCTACAAAGTTGGATATGAAAATACTCAGCTCAATGAATAGCTTTTAGAAATGACAGATCATCTTTATTCAACTCTATAGACAGCTCACTGTAGAATAAAAGAAAAACTGGATGTATTGTTAGAAGTGCTCTCAGTTAATAAGAAAATAGGTCCTCCTTTGTCTTACTTAGTTGGGGCAGAGCCTAAAGGAAGACAAGGAAAGGTTTAAAGGAATACTTAATACTGTTTTGTTTTTAAAATTATAGAATTATAGTAAATCATCAAAAGAAGGAATCACATACTTGCATTTAATTTTTAATGATACTATAAAATTTATTATAATTTATAACTCTCTAGAGTTCAGAGACATAATATTTTTTAAATATATTTTTATTGCTTTCAGAGAGGAAAGGAGAAGGAGAGATAGAAAAATCAATGAAAGAGAGAATCATTGATTGGTTGCCTCCTGCATGCCCCCTACTGGGGATCGAGCCCACAACCTGGGCATGTGCCCTTGTCCGGAATCGAACCCAGGACCCTTCAGTCTGCAGGCCGATGCTCTATCAACTGAGCAAAACTGGATAGGGCCAGGGAGGGTTATTTAAAAGAACATTATAAAAGTTTCATTTCAAAATATTGATAATTATGATGTACTAGAAAATGTATTCTTTGCAACTATTTAGACTTAGGATAAAATTTTAAAATTTCAACTTAAAAAATATACAAGAAGCCCCGCCAGTGTAGGTCAGTGGTTGAACATCGACCTATGAACCAGGAGGTCACAGTTTGATTCCCGGTCAGGGCACATGCTTGGGTTGTGGACTCATCATACAGGAGGCAGCCGATCAATGATTCTCTCTTACTCATTCTCTCTGTGACAATAAATAAAAACACCAGACATGGAAGAGGGTTAGAGAGGAGTTGGAGACCAGAAGGGTTACCTATTGACTGGGAGAAGGAGTAAACTGCTTAGTAACTCAAAAAAGGATTAGAATTCCTCTTGCTGCAAGATGGAACAGAGGAATTTAATGGCTATCCTTTAGGTTAGAAATTGCATAATAACTATCGTGTGGACATCTGTAGCCCTTTTTTAAATTGTGCATCTAATGTCATTATAAGCGCATTTAAATGATTTATGTGCATCAATGATATTTCTTTTTTAAGAACATTTAAAAGTTTGTTTTGAGTAAGAAGTGAATATGATATCAGAACGGATATATTTCTCAGCACTTTCAAATGGTTTCTTAGATCTAATGATCACTTTTTTAAATTGTGCATCTAATGTCATTATAAGTGCATTTAAATGATTTATGTATATCAATGACATTTCTTTTAAAAACATTTAAAAGTTTGTTTTGAGTCAGAAGCTAATATGATATCAGAACTGATATATTTCTCAGCACGTTCAAATGGTTTCTTAGATCTAATGATCAAAATTTGAATGATCTTTTGGTTGCTTTTTTTCCATTTGTGTTTTTTTTATTGAATTTATTGGGGTGACATTGGTTAATAAAATTATATAGGTGTCAGGTGTACAATTCTATAATTCCTCATCTGTATATTGTATGGTGTGTTCACCACCCCAAGTCATTTATCCCCCCTTTACCCTCTTCTGTGTCCCCCTCCAACCGCCTTTTCCTTCTGGTAATCACCATGCTGTTATCTGTCTATAAGTTTGGAGTTTTTTTGGCTTACTCACCTCACCTTTTTCACCCAGCCCTGATCCCGCTCCCCTTAATGATGCTTTATAATCGAAAGCCTCTGAATTTTAGATGGATGCTTCCTTTTTTATTCTAGACTCAAAATTATTTATGAATTTGTTCCAAGAAAAGGATTTTCAAAATAGTATTTCCTGTTTAGTGTGTGTGTGTGTGTGTGTGTGTGTGTGTGCACATTCCAAATTTGAATTATCTCCATTTATGAAAAACATTTTAGGATTTGATGGCAGGAATTCTGGTTGATCTGAAAACTACTGGTAAAGAAAAGTCTCCTTTTAAAGACTGTACCATTGATGAATCGGTAACCGTAATATATTGCTGTTATCTATTGGCTTTCACAGGCTGACTTATTCTGGGGTTGGTGTTTCCGTCTAATTGGTCTATTGACTTTGGCATTTTAAAAATAAGTAACTAATTATACTTTGTTAATCTTAAATTTCTTTACAATAGCAGAGGCATTCTCAGAGTTTTGCCCCTTGGAAATTTTAGTTTTCGTTTATTGCCTGCTATACGCCAGGATGTGCTCAGCACCATAGAGGCCGTTGAGAAGAAGGCCAGTATTCCTGCATTCCTGAACGTTACTATCAAACAGGTTTTTTTCTGTCTGCATACATTTGAAAACTATTTCTGTTAGATTTCACAGTACTTACAAGTAATATAAATGATGAAGCCTTTTAAACCTCTAAGATAAAATGCTCCAAACTTAATTTTTTTGTGCAACATATTACAAAATAACTCCTCTTAAAGACAAAAGTCAATTTTGTAGTCTGTGTTCTTGATCAGATTTCTATTTATGGCTATTGTGACTATTGATTTGTTTTTTAAAAATTCTTCCTAAAATTGCTAAGAAACTTTGCAAAAAAAAAAATGAAATTGCAAACTATGTTTCTGGTTTTAATTTTTATGGTTTAGCTACCGAAGAAATGCAATAGGAGAATGTACCACCTCTTTTTATGTTATCCTATATTGTTCTGTATTCTGTGGCTGTAAGTAGCATTTGTTGTTGTTTTTTAACAGGTTTAGCACAGAATCACATTTCCTTTACATTGTACTTACCATTCAGAGGGCCTGAGTCTTCTAAACGGAGAATGAGTCTATCACTTGACACATTTTTTCCTTACTGTGATCCCAATTAAAAAAAGGGGGGCGGGGAGTATGCCTCCTGGGTTCCATTATTATGAAAATTATAATTTTTATTATGATAATTTTAAAGTTACCAGGTATGGATGCACCTAAAAATTATGAAGCCATTACTATTTTCTTCCCTTTAAGGTTACAATGTACACTTTGTTTATTAAATTAGAACAACTTTATAGTGGACTATTTCTTCTATACAGCAAAATTTCCTTTATTTTTAAAAACTTCTTTTTTATATATTCAGAGGCATACTTCTTACCATAGTTTACAGGAATTTGTTGAGTAAGTCCCCTTTCACCTGAGTTATATTTTAAACTTTTAAGTTTTATAATTTTCTAGATTTATTATACCTCCTGATAGTCCTTATTCTTTCTACACTATAGTCATTAACTTTTTAGATAATCCTCATAGGGTTGTTTCTTTCTACCTTACCTTCATCACTTTGTTCACATTAATATTTTGTTCACTTACTAATTTATATTTATAAACTTATGTTTGCTTCACTTAGTAATTTACACTTATAATAATCACATAGTTATTGAGATCATTTACGATTCTATTTGTAAAATTTAAATGAATATTAAATAAATATCCTGAACTTCCAAAATCAAAATTTTTAATACAATTTTATTTTAAATTGTCACTCTCGTTACCATATAAAATTACAGTGATAGGATTTTTTCGAGTTATGTGAACTATTTCAACAGTTAGCATAGTTAGTCCTTCAAAATTAATTTCATATTAATTTAAATACAATTATTAGAATTCATTGTATCTATAAATGTAGTTATATATTTTATTCATGAAATGATATTCTTTGAATGCCTATGCTGCTATTAAGGTCAAATTTGGGTTAAAATTTATTGAAAAAGATGAAATTAAATTTTTGATGCTTGAGGAATAGAATGGAATATTGTTTGAATCTATTATTTCTCTTTCTAATATACAGTAAAATGCCATCACTTTATATTGCTTAAAATGTTATAAAAACCGTTACTTTTTGATAAAATGGTTGAAATATATTAAATTTGCCAATACAAATAGTCTATTATAACATTATTATATTTGCTAGTTATTTTATTATAGATAAATTAAATAACTCAATAATAAGAAAATCTTAATTATTATTAACTACTAAAGGTGTATTCTTTTCCCACAACTATCACTTACCCCCCCCCTTTTCTTAATATAGTAGCAATTTTTCCTAATATTTCTGTCAAATGTGGATAAGTGAGATTTTACTGTATTTTCAAATTTCTGTTACTTTGTACTTGGGCACTTATATTTTTGACTTGGATATAAATACCTGTTCTTTTTTCACTGTGGTCTTATGGAAACATATGGTGAATTGGATTAAACTTACTTTACTGCATATAAGTAATATGTTAGAAAAAGTTTATCCAATGTATTCTCTACACTGAAACCACACTGTAACACTATTTGTTATGCAGTGGAGTTAAGTATATATCGGATTGGCCTGTCTGAGATTCCAGGGAATTTAAAGATTTTTAACACCAAAAGACCTAGAATATAATTATCTCAAATGACCTCCGCCATGCAAGGTTACAGTGACGTTTCAGTGTTTACTTTGCAAGCAAACAATCCAGACATTTATTTTTACTCTCTTATTGTAGGCTCCCAGCAGTCTTATGGAGACCCTTGAACAGCATCTAAATACATTAGAAGGAAAGAAACCTGGAAACAAGTACGCATTAGTTGTATATTATAAATAAGATGAAAAATGTTAGAATTGTTCTTTATAAGAATGAGAATGATCACAGTGCAACTTATACGACTATAGTTTTAGGGTATGCTTTATTGTAATTCTTCTGGGTTTCCTCAAACTCCCCCTCCCCCCCCCCCGCCCATCCCATTAACTCATGGCAGTGCGACCCTGCCTACAACAATCTATCTGCAGGCGAATGCAGCAAATTAGTAGGTTGCACCTATGTTAACTGAACTTGCTGATTTATATATTTGTCCTTAGAAGGGATTCACAGTAATCAGAAAAAGAGTTGCTTATGTTTAAAAGTTGAGGCTGTTATCATTGGGCATAAGTAAAACCAGCACAATTTCACAAGCAGCCTTGAACACTGTTGTGTTACCAGCCTCACTGTTAAAAAAAGCAAAGCCCTTGAGTCTAGTTTCCAGGACTCCAGACTCTTCCCACTTGAACCATTCAGCACGACATGCTGCTGACATTTCACTAAGAGATCTTTTTATAGAGTGGCAATTAAGCAGTGGTAAGTGCAATTTTACTGGATTTTCATACCTTGTGTTTGGCACTTACCTTGTTTACTATTTTTCCTCAATATATGCAAAAAATGTCCAGGTTCCACTCCTTTTTTTTGCTCTAGCAGGTGTCAAACTTGTGCATTCCCAAGACCCGGTGCTTTTCACTCTTTGTGCCTTGCTGGTCCTGGATGCCTACCCCCTTATCTCTGTCTGTATAAATCTCACACATCCCGGGAGAGACATTTCATGAAACCTTCCTTAATCATGCAGTGCCCTGTGTTGTGGCCATTTTTTTCACACATGTGGTTTAAATAGATTTTCCAATTCTAAAGGTCAGGGATGATTTTATACTTCATTATCTCCCCCTTTAACACTTAGGGTAGCTCTCTCCACAGAGTCAGCTTGAAATGTCTGGGTGGGTTGTCCTGGCTTTATGTGTAGTCCACTGAGATTGACAGCAGAAGTTAGCAGAGAAGACCTAATAACTGATCATCACAGATCTGTGGGCTGATCAGAGATTTTTGTGGTACAGCGACCAAAGGGCAACTCCTTTCTGCTCTCTTTTTCCAGAATCTAGGCTAGTGTTCTGACCTTACTTTGTTGTTGTTGTTGTTGTTTTATCGGCTACGTGTTATTTCTGTCATTTTTCCCAAGTTAGTATAAAAAGCATGGCCTGTTTTAAATTTTCAATGACAAACAGTAGTGTAGGAATCTCTTAGGGACTAAGACTTAGGCAGTTAATGGCAGAGCTACTGGAATGATGGTCCTCTCCTCTTAGGGACTTTAGCAGGTTTGTTACTCCAGCCCAGGGTGTGCCCCAGCTGTGGTGTGGCCGTGGGTGATCAGCCTTTTGTGGATAGATTGATGTCAAATGAAAAACTAGAGAGTATACCAAGTCACAACAGGAGATGCCCGCTTCCAGCCACAGCTGGGGCCATCCTGTACTACGGTACCTGGGAAGCCACGTGAGTTGCCTTGGATGTGAGGAAAAGGTAAAGGAGGCAGGAAGCCTGAGAAAAGGCCCTGCTCCTGTGGCAAAGGAACCTTTTTAGCTAAGGAAATGCAGTATGCACACCCCATAGAGTTAGAGCCTCTTCCTTGGGCAGTGAGGGCTGCACATCAGTGGAAAGTCAGTTTCTCTGCACTCTATCCCTCTCAGGTTCCCCCCCCCCCCCCCCCCCCACC